AGCAGTTATTACTTTAAAAATATAATAGCAGTGATAAATTACGATAAAAAGGGCGAGAAAGACAAAAATATAGACAATTCATTCAGGAATTTTAGTTTCTATTAAAGACACTTCCATTTCATTTTTTATTATAAGGCATAGATTAGACCTGTTTTCTTGGACGGCTATTAGATTTACCTTGCGGGGGTAAAGGATGAATTTCTTCTCCTGGACGAACAATTTTTAATTCAAAAGGAGCAAATAATTCAGTAGCATAAGAAACCAATTTATCCAAAGTAAACTTGTCAACGTGGCAAAATAATAGATACTCCAACTTCTCTTGCTTCTTAATTCCTAATCTTTCCCCCATTTCTTGTTCAGAAAGGTTATTTTCTTGTTTGTAACGAAGAATATTTTGACAGATTTCATACTTAACTTTTTCAATCGGTCCAGCATCCCACCTTAGACCTTGATTTATGCGACGATAACCTGGTTGTCTCATTCTTTCTAGTTCTGAAACATCGATTACTCGATAAACAGTTTTAGTTTTTTTTGAATTATTATTTTTTTTTGTCATATTTTTTTTCACGGTAACAGTCAATTATAAGCAAAGTGGTATTAAATGGTGATTCATCATAATCTCAGACTAAATTATAGGCTCGATGACCAATATGCAAAGGCTCATAAGAAAAATATTTACCATCTCTTAAAAATACCTTATCATTTAATTTATTTAATTCCTTTACTAACTCCTGAATTACTTCATCACTTACGGTGGAGCGTCCCAGTTTAGTTCGGTAATACTGACTAATCTCTAATTCTACAAACCAACGACCATTAAGGACAATATTACAAGGATAACGACTAACCGAATAATTAATAATCTTTTTGGTCATTTACTCTATACTTTAATTTTATTCCTTGACTTCTTTAAGGAGTAGCCAGGATAAGAAACTCCATTTTTAATATTTTTTTTGTTTTCTTTTTCAGGTTAATTTTGAGAGAGGAGAATGATTTTCATCTTCTTTATCTACTTTAGTCATGGGGGGAAGAATGATCGAGGGGGTCTCTCTCTCTCTCCAACTGTTCTTTTACCCAAGGGGAGATATAAGATAAATCGGCTAATTTTTGTAAAAGTTCCATATCTCCCAAGAGGGCTTTATCTATTACTTCTTGTTGTTCCTCTTTGGTTCAGGGTTTACCGGGGAGCATGGCATTACATTGTTGAAAATTCTCAGTCAATTCATTCATTTTCTCCTCATAAAGTTTAAGTTTGCCAGCCTCTAAATCCTCTTGGCTAGTTAGTAAACGAGAAAGGACAATTAATTTACGGGCAATGACTTTATTACCGAGATTGTCGAGAGTTGTGTGGTTAAGATAGGTAAATCAGCAGGTGTTGTTTTTTATCCCTGCCCTATTACCACAAATTTTATGATACTCAACATCTCCAAATTTGTTTTCATCATAATTCTCTACTCAATTATCTAAGTCGGAGGTGTCTATTAATTTTTCTAATCCATATATTAGAATGGGTTTGGTATTGTCTCGGACATTTTTTCAGACTCTTTCTTTTCAGCCAAGGGGAAATTTTAGACCCGAACCGGTTAATTGATTAAAACTACATTCGAATCTTTTCAATTTAACATTCTTGCTTAAATCTAAACTAGTTAATTGATTATTCTGACAAAATAACCTTTCTAAATTAACAAACTCCCTTAAATCTAAATGTCCTTTTAAGTTTTTTCCCCCAATACCCAACATCTCAACACTCCCCCTTTTCTCTTTCGGATAATTCTCATCTAAAAACTTAATAGTTGCTGGTTCCATTTTTAACTCTTCACTTATTACTTCCTCCTTTTTCTCGGTTTCTACTACCACTTCTTCATTAAGTTCAATTTGCTGCTCTTCATACTTTTCCATTTCTTCTTCTGCTTTCATTATCATCGCTTCTTCCTCGTCTTCTTCCGTTTGAGTTCCTTTTTCCATTTTAGACTTATTTACTTCCTCTTTTAACCTTTCATTATCTTTAATTAACTCTTCCTGTTTAGTGGTTAACTCTTTTACTTTTTCCCTTAAATCTTGTTGTTGCTCTAACAGTTTTAGGGATTTCTCAGCACTAGCACAGATATCACCCAACATTTTCCCTAAATTAGGGCATTTGTTATTTTTAATATCGGCTCTTACTTTATCAATTATGAAGTAAATATCTGGTAAAAGTTGTAAGTTAGCCGTCGGTTCAACCGTTAATTCAGTCATGATTTTAGTGGCTCATTTTCTTTCTTCGGGGGTTAATTTTTGGTTAGTTAGTTCAGTAATATTCTTTTCTAACTCTTGCTTGGCTTGCTCTCACTCTTTTTGCTTTCTCTTTTCCTCCAACTCCTTCATCTCTTTTTCTTCTTGTCTTTGCTTGGCTAACTTTTGATAGGATTTTTTTTCTTTAAGAAGTTGATTAACTTTCTCCTGCAATTCTTTAATAATTTCCTCTTTTTCTTTCATAAGTAAATTTTTACTTTTTAACTCCTTTTGATGGGTTTGGGTTAGTTCCGCAAGGTTTTTGGAGAGTTCTTTTTCCTCCTGGACTACTTTTTGATTAGTTTTTTCTAACTCATTAAGTTTTTTAGTTAAGATTGTTTTTTCTTCCGATAATTCTTTTAAGTAATCTTGTCAGGATTTTTTTTGCTCTTGCCAAGATTTTTTTTGGTTTTCGAAATCTTGGAGTTGAATTTGCAAGTTAGAATTGCGGTTAAGTTCCTTTTTTAAGGTCTCTTTGGTTACTTTATATTCCTCCTTTATTTTTTTCAGTTCCTCCTTTTGTTCCTCTCCTCCTTTTATCTTTTCTCGTCATTGTTGTTCTTGACTGGTTAATTGCTGAATAGTCTGTTCTAAGGAGTTAATTTTTGCTTGTAATTTGGTCTCTTTTTCTTTTAAACTCTCTTTTTCACTTTGTCAATTACTTTCTTGTTGGGTTCAAGTTTTTTGGGCTTGCTCCCAATTATCCTGATTCTTTTTGAGGGCTTGTTCTAATTGTCCTTTGGCTCGCTGTCAATTCTTCTTTTCCTGCTCTCAATTACTTTCTAAATTCTTTAATAATTCCTCAACTTCTTTTTTCCCTTTAATTTTTTGACGGGCTAAATTAATTAATTGCTTTCCTAAATCTGCAATCTTTTGTTCTAATAATTTTGAATGGGCTTGGGTTTGCTGGTGGAAGGCTTCTAATTTTTGATATTTAATGGTTCAATCCGAATTCAAGGTTTCCACCTCTAAATCCTTTTGCACTCTTTTTTGGTAAAGAGTTTGGTAATGGCGGAGTTGTTGTTGTAAATCGTTAATTTGGGCGGGACTTTCCGCAAGCAGATTAGGTTGATTATTTGACTGATAATAATAGTAAATTAATAAGATTATTATCGCAATAATGATTAATTTAGTTGTCATAATATTTTTAACTGCCACTTATTATTCATAAAACAATTAGCAAACCAATCGCAATTCAGAATAATCCGCGATAAAAAGTAGGTTGATTTTGATAATAGTTTACTGGTTTAGAAGCGGTTGCTTGGGCTTTTTGGCTGTAAGTGTTGACTTGCTGAGAGACTAAATTTTCTAACTCTTGCGTTTTTCGTTCAATGGGTTGTTTAATTCAGTTTTCATACTTAGTATTCATTCAGTCTTTGACTGCATTTTTAATTCCTAAATCTACCATAATATTTTAAAATTCGTGGGGTTTTGGTTTGTTTTTACTTAATAATCAGATACTTACTAAATAAACGAGCAAGAGGCTAATTAGGGGACCGTAATCAATTCATCAGTTAGCGGGGGATTCACCTAGTTCTAATTTACTTAACTTTCACTCGGCCAAGGACTTTTCACCTTGGAGACGAGTTTTTTCTTTAACCAATTGCTGAACTCTTTGTTCTAATTTCTCGATGGCTTGCTGATCAGTTTGGATTTGTTGAGTTAAATCCTTTTCAACTGCTTTTAAGTTTTCGCGGTAAGTGCTAAATTCTTTAATCTTACTTAAACGGAGTGCTAAAATCTTGTCCTCTAACTCAGTAATTTTTTGTTTTAACTCGACGGGATTTTCTTCCGAAGCCAAGACCAAGACTTCTGGATTTTCTAAGTCCTTAATTTTCTTTTTTAAAGCCTCATTTTCAGTTTGTAAAGCACTTAATTCTGGATTCAAGGGAGGGGTGGGAATATCACCTAAACTCTTACTCCTTTTTAATCTTTTGATATCACTGGGTTTTATTCCTTCTTTAACTTTTTCTTTTAATTCTTGTTGGAGTTGGTCTTTAGTCATGAGTTTTTTAATTTCGGGGTAATTGAGTAAATTGGCATCAGCAGCAAATAAAACTACCATTTCATTGACTACCAAAATATCTTTTTTTTTGGCAAAAGAGACAAGTTTGTTTTTGCATAAGAGTATAAAAGGGGAGAAGGGGAACTAGCAAACCGATATATGCTAAAAAAATTAAAAAGAATACTAGTTTTTATCTCCCCGTTTTAATCGCTCAACTTCTTTTTTTAATTCATCAATCTGCTTTTGTTCTTTACCATTCTTTTTTTCTAATTTAACCGTGCGACGGTCTAAACTTAGATTATAACCAAAAAACATGGCTAATAGTAAAGCAATGGTTCCAAAAGCCCCCAACGCGATATATAAGGCTAATCGACCATTCGCCAAGGCTAATTCACAACAGTTAATCATTTATTTTTTTAACTCTTTCACACACCCCACAATATCGGCATGTAAATAATGCCCTAGACTTTCCCCAAAGGCTTGATAATTCTTGGCTACTTCTTTCACTAATTGGGCTTTATGTTCTTGGCGAGCGGCTTCAACTTTACCTTTATTGCACTTACAGTGATGGGCTAGGGAAGTAATTTTTACTTTGGCATTGACCGGACTAGCAATTTGGTCAATCAGGCAATTATAATAAGCGAGGGTGTCAGTTTTGGAGCGAGTTGAACGAAGCTTGTTCGAAGTTTTAGGGGACTTGACTTTTACCGTAGTTTTCTGCGTGGTTGGCACCACAATTACTTGATTTTTAGTTTTCTTGATTTTCTTCATAAGTTTTTAATTTTCCTCCTACGAGGCTAAAACTAGGGCCGAATAAGCATTATTTAACCGTGCGAATATTTAAAGGCAAAAAGGTTAGGGCGGTATTCATTAAGGTTTCCACGGTCTGATGGGCTAAAAAGCCACAAAATACCGCTAAAGCGGAACAGATAAGTAGAGTAGGTGGTGACATAATTATTTAAAAATTTTTTTTGAGAATATTGATTAAGAACTAGCCGAATATTTTGTTGAATATTTAGACATTATCCAAATATTTAGGAATATTGGCTAAAATTAGCCGAATATTTAGGAATATTAGTTAAAGATTAACTAAATATTTCATTCAATCTTCGGAATTGTCCTTGGCCGGTGTTGGCTCAATGACGAACATAGAGACCGGTAAAAAAACAGATACTAAATCAGAGGAGGTATTTTTTGGACATAAGTTTAATTATTTTGGTTAGGCTGAAGAGAGGGCAGTGGCTGGGATAATTCGTAAATATAAGGGACTAAATAACCCGTGAGAACCCCCAAGGCTAAATATTTACTTTTTCCTTGTCAGAAATAAGCAATAGCCAACAGCAAGAAGATTCCCAAAGCAATCGCAATTAAGGCTTTTTGGGTATTTTGACCAATGGCAGCATTTTGCTGAATTAATTGCTTAAATTCGTGGGTCTTGGTTTCGATGGTTTCTTTAACATTTTCTTCATAAAAGCCCTTTAAGGCTCCTTTGAGATCCGGGAGATAATCTTTTCAAGCGTGCATAATTAGTTAGATTCTTGCTGTCTTATGTAGTGATAAACTAATATTCCGGTGATGGCCGTAGCGACTAAGGCGTAAGTAATTAACTGGGTAGTTTCGGAATTATTGGGCTGAATGGCTGATAAACTAGTGCTTAAACTTTGGACCGTGCTAGTTAGATTGCTCGTTAATTGATTGTTCAACAGAGTTATTTGATTCACCATGATTAATTGCTTGAGTTTGGCTTTGTCGTTGCTGAAATTTAGCGATATTATCAGGTTCTAACTGATTAAGGCTATTGTCAGACTGAATGGCGGGACTTTCCTCCCCGGATTGCTCAGGATTGGAAGTTAAAGGCTTATATTTTCAATACTCTTGCCCTTGACAGTCTTTTCTCAGCAGACCCAAGTATCTTAGATTACCAATTTTAGTAACTAAGGCTCCATTTATTTTCTTACTTTTTCAAGTTAAGATTTTTAACTGGTTTGAGAAGAAAAAATGGGGGTCTTCGGCTAAGATTTCTTGGAGGGTGTTAGTAATGAGATCTTTGAGGTTAGCAGGATTGAGCTGGTTCATAACGGATGAAGGAGAAAAATTTTATTCGAAACTTTGGTCTTGGCTCCGGCTACTACTATTATTTTTATCTTCTTTTTTGCTGAATAGTTTACCGGTTACTTTTTGGAGCATACCACTTTTTCAGAGAAAGATCCCCGCGGCAATGCCAATGGCATAAATAGCAAATTTGCCAGTTGCTCAGGACAACAGAGTGTTTTCGTTTTCTGGATTATTATTAGGTTTAGTCATATTTTTAATAGATTTTTTTATTTGCGTAATTGTTGAACTACTAAATAAACTAAGGAAGCATAAATCGCCACCGC